GATTTAAACAATCCATAGTTAATATAATTAAACCCAGGGAGCAGAGACATGATAGCTGTAAATGCAGTGTGAATATTCACAACACATCAGGCAAAGAAACACAGAAGAACAGCAGTAGGAAACACAAGTAGCTCCCAGTTCTAAAATGCCAGAAAGACCGGGCAGCTGTACACAGCACGATGGAGATGAAGCAGGAAGACAGGTTTCCAAAAGGAAGGATAGGGAGCAATAAGGCTTTTACAGAGTGCAGCCTTGAACCCATGGCTAATCTGATAAGTATTATAAAAGGTCACTTTTTCATCTAATTAACAAAACCATTTGTACTCCCCCAGTCTAATTGGATATGATGATATCATCCTGATTCAAAGCAGGTGAAACCCAGGCACACCAACAGATGGCTGAGAGCCAATTTCAAGGTTAGCCAACCCTGACTCCCATTTGAAACAAACCCACTAGCACCGTACACCTTTTCTAACATCTGTGTGGAGCTTGGCTCCACTGTTATAAATAAAATGAACAGGGGAAGCAAGGAGTTAAAAGGATAGTAACTCGTTTGGCCTGCCTTCTTTTACGAAGTAGGTAAATCTAGAGGATTTGGTTCTAAAATAGTGTTTTCTCATAAGAGGAAGGAAAGAGTGAGGCTGGTGGACAACGAGGTGGAAGGAACTCAAACAACAAAGCAATCCTGCAGCCTGGATTCCCACCTAAGATCCCCCTCTGATTTCCACTGAACAAGTCATGGAGCGCATGCAGATGGTGGAAGGGCTTGTGATTTAACCAGGCCTGATCCCCTGCCTGGGGCCTGAGAATCCGAGGAACCAACACTTCTCAACATTAGCCAATTAGAACATTCTCTTATTTTCTTCTTCCACTGGCACCTTCACCACACATTTACACTCTAAAGTATGAAGGTTGTCTTAGTATATTTTCTTTTTCTTTATTTAGCTGATGTGTCAAACACATAAAAATTGTACATACTCCTGGGGAAACCACGTTATGTTTCAAAACATTGTATAATGCTTAAATCAGGTTCAACACACCTATCTCCTCCAACATTTGTTTATTCTTTATGATGAAAACATCAGAATCCTTTCTTCTAGGTTTTGAAATATACAGTGAATAATTTTCTCTATCTATCTATCTATCTATCTAATCAAGGCCCAGAAACAAACATCTCATCTCTGCATATGTCATATCAAATCATAAAATGCTGCTCCCCAGCAGCAGAACTGGCCTCCTCTTATACCCTGGTTCCTCTCTGGATCCATTCCTGGTTGTCAATTCTCCTTCCAGAGGCTTACCTGAGGGCCCTACCATACCTGACACCTCAGCAGACCTGTACCCCAAACTCTCTGACCTGGTGTTCCTTTCTCTTGTTTTCCCATTATCCTTCTCTTTCTCCACCCACAACCCCATTCTCCGCACTCTCACTGCTATTGCAGTTATCTTCCCCAAACAACTACGGACTTGTCGCTCTTACTGCCTGCTGCTCCATCAAAAGAGCCTAGCATGTAGCTCCTCCATAGCAGCCTGTTTTCCTGCTCATTTATAAGCTACTCATGTCCTTCCACCCCATGCTAGAAAGAGGCCACATGGAAACCCAGGACTCTATCCAAAGTACATGTATGAAGACATGAATTGGTGTCAACACACTTTATATACAGAGATATGAAAAATTGTACTGTATACATGTAATAAGAGTTGTAATGCATTTCGCTGCCATTTATTTTTTTTTTAAAAAAATCAATAAATAAAAAAAGAAACCTAGGACTCTACGGTCTTTCATAGACTGTGCTGTGGTACCTGCTCACTTCCTGGAATACCCACCCACCCCATATAAACAGCCTCCTTTTTCCTTCAAATGACCCATGTCACAAGCCACATCCTCTCTGAAAACTGTCCTGAGTCCCCAGGCGACATCACAGATCCCTTCTCCCGCATTCCTGCTTATTTAGGATGGGTCACTAGTCTGTATTCACTTAGTGTCTTGCTGCCCAAGACACACCCCAGCCCCTCCATACATCTTGATGTATTATTTCATGACTAAAATGATTTTTGTGCAATTATTTCTCCTCTAGCCCCTCTAAAGTCGTCTTCACTCATATCTTTAATAGAGATGAGATCTAATAATTAACAACTTGAATCCTTTTTGCTCAAGCCAGGGTTATCCATTTTTGCCACTTTGCAAGAATGACCAGGGAGTATATCACAAATAAAGATTCTTGGGCCCTACACAAGGCAGTATCCTGAATTGGACCCTATATGGGAGTTGTCGGTATTTGCAATTTTTTTAATATTTATTTTTTAGTTGTAGTTAGACACAGTACTTTTATTTTATTTATTTTTATTTTTATGTGGTGCTGAGGATCGAACCCAGGGCCTCGAACACGCTAGGTGAGAGCTCTATCACTAAGCCACAATCCCAGCCCTTTGCATTTGTTTATAGCAAGGATTGCAGATAGTTCATTTGTATGTGTAATTTAAATATATATATATATATATATATATATATATATATATATATATATATATATATATATTAGTTATATATGAACTCAATGCCTTTATTTGTTTTGTTTTTTTAATATGGTGCTAGGATCAAACCCAGTACCCTTCACTTGCGAGGCAAGTGCTCTACCACTAAGCTACAACTCCAGCCCTGTAGTGTATTTTTGGTTTTGTTTTGCTTGCTTGTTTTGGGAGTGCTGGGGATCAAATCCAAGGCTCCACACATGCTAGACAAGTGTTCTACCACTGAGCTACACTACACCCCCACCATCTACAGGTAATTCTTATATGGACTTGACTTAGAGGACACTTTGTCCCCTAAGGAAAAGCAGCAACATGACAAATTTTATTAACCACTTATAGTTTAATGTGAACTGTGCACCAAAACCCCTTGCTAAAAAGTTAATGAAGTGGGTACAGAAAAAGAAAAACACCATGGAACGTGTCTAGTTTTGATTTTTGTAAAACATTATCTGGATTTGGGTCAATTTTACATCCATAAAACCTCTGTAATCAAAATATTTATCTTTATCTAATGAAGTGGTTCCCACAGGCAGATCTTCCACTAACTCTATCACATGCTCTGCAATGTCTAAGAAGTAGCATCGTCTGTCCTTCTGGTGGTTAAATACTGTAATACAAGGTATAGATCTAAATATGGAATTTTATTACTGTATAAGAACAAAGTCAAGGTGAATAGATATTTTACACAGGTTGTTTAAAGAGAAATTATAATATCTGTAGTCCACTTTTTAAAAAGATCTCTCTTTTAATCAGGGGATGCAATATTTCAACTGTGCGTATGTGCACCTGGGTTTTTTCCCCTCAAATGAAAGAATTTTTTATTTGGGTTAAAATTTCAAAAAATACTTAAGTGCAGGCCTGGTACGGTCTACTTGTGCTAGATTTTGTAAATGTTGTCACTAATTTTGAGACTAATTTCTTTTCTTTCTTTGACTGCCTGCATAATCACTTCATTGCAAAAATTTTGTACCCTATGTTCAGCAATTTATCCTTAAAGATATATTGCAAAAAAGGCAACACACAGAGAAATCTGTGATACACCAAAATACTTTTTAGTCCAACTTCTTTGAAGTATATTTATTTTAACCACCATTTCCTCTCCTAAATAGCAGCTTTGCTGGGGTTTGAATGTCTGTTTAGAAGGTTACTTGCCCCGACACCCTGTGCTCTGAATTCCACCTCTCCTTCCAGGAAAACACTAGTGGAAAAAGAGAGGAGACTACTAGAAGAGGTTGATAGAAATGGATCAGACTATGAAGAATCAAACTTCCAAATCTCCACTTGGACAACTACACCTCTGACATCAGACCTGTCCACATCACAAGGCACTCACATCCACTCCCTCCCATTTCCTCCATCTCAATGGAAGGCACCACTAACTGCTGAGGTTCAAAATCCAGGAATCTTCCTTGATTTCTCTTCTCCCCAAAACCAACTTATCAGCAAAGTCATTCAATGCACATACAAAACTAAACCCCAGTCTGACACCTCCTCAGCTCTGCTGCCCAGCTAGCTGTTCATGCACCGAGAACTGTTAGATAAATACAGGACACTAAGATATGCTGGAATTTCACATAAACAGCAAATCATTTTGCAGTATATACATCCCCAAAATTTCATGAGACTTAGTTAATTATACTAAAAGGAATCTGTTGCTTACAACTTAAGTTTAACCTGGCTGCCTGTATTTTTATTTGCTAAATCTGACAGATGCTCCCGCATTCCCTGCATGTCTGAACCGCTACTAATGAAAACTCTCTCCCAAGGGTTGAAGATGTAGCTTAGTGGTAGAGCACTTACTTGCCTAGCCTGCCTGAGGCTCTGGGTTCAATTCCCAGTATTGCAAAAATAAGTAAATTAATTAAATAAAACCCCTCATGGTTTTCTTCAGAATTTGGAATAAGATTCAAGTTCTTTATCAAAGCCATCAGGGTCTTTGGATGAAGAGGGTGAGAGGGGATGGATGCACATCATAGCAGAGTAGTGACTCTTGTTCCAGAGAACTCAGAACTTCTCAATATCTATTGGCTGATAAATTATTAACTAAGTTTCCCATCTGTAAAGTCATATTTCTTGAAATTCTCAACATTCTTTCCCTTTGCATGCCCAATTTTTAAAATAATCTGCCGACATCCCTAAAGAATCTTTCCTGCACCAAATTCAGACTTAGTTCCACCAAGTAGTGAATGCAAATTCCTCCCGTTGCCTGGTGGTGCTGCCATTCCTAAGAGTTCCAAATCATCAGAAGCCTCATCTCAAGTCTGCACAGAAGTGACAGATGATGCAATTCATTACTTGAGTGTTTCATTGCATTTTTTAAAAATATGTTTTTAGTTGTAGATGCACACAAAACCTTTATTTTATTTATTTTTATGTGGTGGGGAGGATGGAACCCAGGGCCTCACACATGCAAAATGAGCACTCTACTACTGAGCCACAACCCCACCCCTACTTCATTGTATTTTTTTCTAAATATGGAACGCTTCATGAATTTGGGTGTCATCCTTGCACGGGGGCCATGCTAACCTACTCTGTATCATTTCAATTTTAGTAAATGTGCTGCCAAAGCGAGTACTGCTTCATTGTATTTTAACCTTGCAATTTGAAAAACCTTGTAGAAATCCAAAAACCAAGGTGTTGGTATGAATGCAGAGGTGCCATAAACCTAATTCAACTGCAACAAGCTAAAAATCACAAGTGAGCTGAAAGAAAGGGCCCGTTTGTCTTAAGCAAAACACTTTTTAAACTTAAACTGATAGTTTTATTGTGAAGAAAAGAAGTAAAAATAAAGACCAAGGATAAAATGCTGAACATATATTGAAAATTATGTCTGACTTAGAACCTACAATTATAAGGTATAAACAGCTTAGCTGACAGGGAATGATAGCCCTTATCATGTGTAACACTATTTTTGGCTTTCAGGCTTAAGAGGTAAGGAGTTGCCTGTGAATCACCACTGCACAGCTAAAAACCCGTGTGACCGGGTCCTTAAGCAGCATGCAATAATCCAGAATTTATAATCCTCCTATTTTTGTGGGAAATGTTGGAACCTCTAAAGAAGTAAAAATTGAAGTTTTAGTTTCAACTCTTATGAGCTAAGAGAATAAAAACTTTGCAATGGTCATCCAGCCCTTGATGTTGTTTAGATGGACCATTTTCAGACAGGGCAGGAAGCCATCAGGCACAGGAGGAAGGGAAGATTATAAGTTGTGATTTTGTGTGTTGGATCTTATAAGCTGAGTCTTGCAAGAAGTATGGAGTCGGGGGTAGGGAGACAAAACCAGTATGATATACAGAAGCCAACAATTCCAGAAATGTTATACTAAATACTCCGATTTCAGGACTCCAAATTTCAGAGTGTGTCAAGCCATTTCACACAGGTAATTGTGCAAAACACGGGCACACGACCTCCTCTAGGGAAACCTTGGAAATACAGCAAGTCAACTTGCTGTATTTCCAAGGGATCATCTGACATTCAGCATGCTTCTCAGAACCCCTTCCTCACACCGAGAACCAGGGACAGGAGGATGTGCAAGACAGTGTCCACCTTCTTCCCTCAAGAGCTCAGGTAACAGCAAGAGAAACAGGTAAATTGAAGGGAACACTAATGAGACATAGCATGTGCAACCACAGAGGTACATCAACACACTCTGGGCCACAGATCAAAGCCGACAGCCAAATGTCAGAATCAGCCTGATGGAAGCAGAAGATTAGCATCTCAGTTCCAGGCTAACTGGATCTCCTCAGCTGACATTATTCTCAGTCGGTTCCCCCCCCCCCACTGAGGCAATATTGATAGGCTGTTCTGGACACAGATGGTGGTAATATTTGCAGAACAGTGTAGCTGCACGTAATGCTACAGAACCACACACTTAAAAATGGTTAAAATGGTAAATTCTATGTTTACCACAATGAAAAAAAAATTCTAAAAATTGACTTTTTTTTTACCCTCCAAAATGTATATACAGTGAAAGGCACAGAACTTAACTCTCCTTGAAATTAGTTTTGATAGATGTACCCCCACATATACCCATCTTCCACATATACCCTCATTCCTATCTCCTCATGTTCTCACTGCACCTGCTTCTAAGTCACCTCCCCCACAGGCCCCTATCCTTGAACTTCACCCAAGCTATATCCTTTGCTGTCTGGATTATTTTTGCTGAATGTAATGTTTTTGAGAGGAAACCAGTTGTTGCATAGAGCAGCAGCTCTTTCTTAGCTGAGTCGTAGTATTTCATTTTATTAGAATATCAAAATTCATTGAGCAGGGATTTTTTTTAATTAAGCAATTTTCTGACCAAGAAAATTTTGGATAGTTCCACAGTTCTTTTTTCTTTCTTGCTTTTTCTTTCTTTTCTTTCTTTTTTTTTTTAATAGTATGACTAAGGCTGCTATATACAGAATTGTACATGTTCTTTTGTGGGCATCCATTTTCACTTCTCTTGCATAAGCACCTTCAAATTCCTTGATTGTGACAGAGACATCTGTTGAGTTTTACAGGAAACTATCCAAAGGCTTCCTGCAGTAGCTGTACCTATTTGCACGTTGGTCTTCCCACGTCCTCACCAGCATTGGGCATTTTTTGTTGAGAAATAGCAATGTCTCACTGAGCAAGTATTTGTGATAGAAAGAGAAAAAAAAAATTCTCCGGGGCAGATTATTGGCTTTTTCGAGGACTACTCCTTCTCTTTCAGGCAGGCTGGATTATGCTCCTTCCAAAACTGGAATTTTACATGAAGTTCCTTTCTTCCTTCCTTCCTTCCTTCCTTCCTTCCTTCCTTCCTTCCTTCCTTCCTTCC